TGCAACAAACCATCCAAATTTCTAAACCAAACTTACCAAACCAATTTTTTTTTTTTTTAATATAGCAATTTACTTATTTTAATGCAGCCTGTCCACTGGAAAGGACAGCCTGAAGGTTTCCTAGGATGTCCTTAACTCTGCTGATGGCTTAAAGATGTTTAATTGCCAGCTTTGTGGGAGATGGAGAGGCAACAGATGTTGGTTATACCACATTCAGAGACTGCCACAGTGACAGTAAAAGCACAAGGCAATCTCCTCGGGTTTGCTTATCCACTTCTGTAATAGCTTATAATGAGAGTGCTGTTCCATAAAACAGTAGAGGAGCATGCATGGATATATACTAGCACCTCTGATGAGCTGATGAGCTGGAAATAGCAGGCAACTACTGACTCTGATGCTGTTTGATGCGTTGACTACTTCTTAATCCCCTTAGTTAAGCTTTGTTCAAGAGAGCAGTATCAGGTCATGAAAGTTTGAACAAAGAAAATTCTAGCACAATCTGACAGGCAAGTAAACATGACAAAACAATAATAGGATACTGTAGAGGAGCAGAAAATGTATCACTGGACCTGAAAAAAATAATTTTGAATGAAAATTAGCTTTGATATATGATTAAGTCAGACAGTAGAAAAATTGAATTTGGGAAAACTTTCAAGTGGACAGAACTGTGATCCTTAAAGGGAGGAAAATGAAAATAAAAGAAAAATGAAGATAAAATCAAAATTTAGAATAAAACCATATTTCACTGATGAAAAAAAATTGAAAAAAAGGAATATATATTACATTTTCAATGGAGAACAAACAGTAAGTCTCTCCAGCATGTATCTCAGATAACAGCTGCAATGGTAATACATTCTGAATTTTGCAGTGAATGGAATTATGATTTTTTTTCTTTTTATTTGTTTTCCACGTGTTATATCAGTTGACTAAATTTTATTTCACTGTTTTTAAAGATTTGAAATTTATTAACTGAAAAGATTAACAACTCTCTAGTACTGTATGTAAACTTTTCCTGCAAACCTCTGATCCTAAGACCATTAAGAATGGGAAATTCTAACTCAAGGAGGGTGCTGGGGAACAATGAAAGAGAAAGAGAGAGAAAGGATTAATCACGTAATCACTTTTCCACTTACACTTTTAAGGTAATATAATTCATGGAAAAAGGCCATTACCTCCATCTTTATGTGTAATTCAGAGCTAGTTATATCAGTCCATGAAGGTTCATCTCATATCAGAATTGTCTGGAGCAGGGTTTCTTTGAGGCATACATATGTGTAAATTTATCAGTGTGCTTTTTGTTACAACATTTCTTTTGATAGAAAATTAGTTTTGACTAGATCAACCTGAATGATTAATCAATTCATTCTTGGACTGTTTTCACTTTTATGTGATTTTCCTAAGGCAGGGACCACTCATTCTGAAAACTGACTAGGCACCTTGTGGACCACCTCAGTTATCTTCTGTCTACAGGAAACTTTCACCAGCAGTCCTCAAAGCAAGGCAAAATGATGATGTGGTTCTGAGCTCAGCAAGAGTTTGAATCAAGACACAACTGCTTCAGAAAGATGAAAAAAATTTGTCATTGCTGGAGGTCTGAATCCATGGGAACTGAATACCTTTGAGAGAGCTAAAATCTGACTCACACCACAGACAGTTGTAGCACAGTGCTCCTTGTGAATAGTTGTATGCTGATCCAGGGAGGTTACCCCTGAATCCCCTTACAAGAGCTCAATGGAAGCTGTTAGCCAAGAGCCCTTGCATTTTACAGATGGGAAATTCAGTGCTCTGTTGTATTCTGAAGGTGTGAGATGATAGCTCCTTAGTCAGCCTGCTCTGCCAGGATTTCCTGCAGGAACTCTGCTGCCCATGATCCCAGCTGGCACAGGGTTTCCTGAGGAAGTGCTGAAGCACTTCCAGGGATCTCTGATGCAGAACTTAGCCAGCTTTTCCCACGATCTTTGTAAATGTTATGAAACTATTCTTCCCTGTTTATAATTTCTTATGAATGTACATCCATAAGGCTCATGAATATTACTTAATTTTGGCCTTAAGCTTGTTCTGGACTTTAGAAATCAATTACTAAGATTCCTGAAAGTGACATTTACTATAGAGGCTGAATTTTATTATGCTTGTCTGATTCACCAACTGACAAGAATGTTTAAATATGGCAGTTCTTAAAACTTAGTTAAAAGGATATTCACTTGATCCAAATCTTCTAAAATGAACGTACTCTTTTTCTGGGGCTTGCTGCATAATGATCCTTCCATAGAACACAGAGTGCCAATAACCAAGATTTTGCAAAACTGTAAGAGTGCAATTCATATTGCTGGACATAGCTGAATTCAGCTAAATACTGGCAGTTACAAAATACTTAAAAACATCAAAAAGCAGAAGAACTGCACATCTATTTTTACACCTGCCTAGGGCTTGTACACTGTTTATGCAATTTGACTCAAGCTGACTTGCTTTATGAAAAAATTTGGAAAAGCAGCAATGTTTTATTTACAGGTAGTTTTGTTGGCTATCACACTTTTTATCCATTAATTGTGTTCAGGAAAAACTGGCTAAAAAATTATATCTGATCTTTCAAAACTAATTTTGCTGTACTTGTGACATCTCAGTTGTGGTTTTTTAAATGCTGCCATGAGGCATTAGCAATTCTAGGAGAAATTAAATTGTATTTACATGATAGACACTACCATGTCTTTTGAGCCAAGGTTCTACTGTAAATTTCAAAAATTGCATTGTGATGAGTAAAAACCCCACCTTGTGAAGCCAGCTTATTGGTCCTATTCTGATGTTGGACTAAAATTAAGATTGTCAGGAGTCCAAGAGAGAGAATGACAGAGTCATTCATACATCTTCCTTTTGTTCTTACTTACATCTGGCAAAAAAAGTGACACTACTGCCGCGCTCCCGCCCCACACTACAAAATCCACAGACAAATTCCCTATGTTTACCCATTATTATTGCATAAAAAATATCCAGCAAAACAAGTTGTGTATCAATGTAACTTTGTCTGAGCTTAGGGGGACCATACCTAATAGTGAGAATTTAATTTCAATGACCTGAAATTAAATGTGTGATGCTGCTCACACTCTAAGGGGAAGTGAGAGACCTGCCAGGCTTGAGAGAGGGGCCCATGTGGATCACCTGAAGTTCAACAAGGACAAGTTCAAGGTCCCTGGGCCAGGGCAATCCCAAACATGAATACAGGCTGGGTATGGAATGGATTGAGAGCAGCCCTGAGGAGGACCTTAGGATCTTGGGGGATGAGAGAGTGGACATGACCTAGCAAGGTGCACTTACAGCCCAGAGAGCCAATGGTGTCCTGGGCTGCATCTAAAGAAGTGTGGCCAGCACGGCAGTGGAGGTGACTCTCCCCATCTACTCCATTCTACTGAGATCTCCAGCTGGAGTGCTGCATCCAGCTCTGGGGTCCCCAACACAGCAAGGGCACAGACCAGAATAGGGCCATGAAAATATTTAGAGGCATAGAATATCTAGCCTATGTGGTTGGTAGACAAGAAAGAATTGGGGTTGTTCAGGTTTGAACTGAAAGATGGTAGGTTTAGACTAGATACGAGGAAGAAATTCTTTACTGTGAGAGAGATGAGATTTTGGAACAGATTGTCCAGAGAACTAGTGTATATCCAACCCTGGAATTGTTCAGGGCTAGGTTGATGGGGCTGTGAGCAACTTGATTTGGTGGAAGGTGTCCCTCATGCTGGGGAGGTTTGAACTAGATAAGCATTAACATCTCTTCCAACCCAAACCATTCTAGGACTCCATGATGTGCCAATTAATTAATTAATTAAGTAATTCATTCTCCTTCTTCCTAAGACACTTCCTGGTCTTGGTATCTCCCTAGATTGGTAAGCATGAACAAACACTCAGTGCATTCTTTCAGCTGTTGACAAACAGGACACAGATCAAAATTTTGACACCTTAAGAAACCACTGCTTTGGACTTAAAACTTCTGCTAGCAACAACTTTAATAATTTTGACCCAGAAACCATCCAAAAGCAGGACTCACAGTCACTTGCTTGCAAAGAAGATATTTCTGCTTGATTTTTACTTCTCAGGTAGCTACCACAATGCTATATTCTTAGAGAATTTTTGGGGGAAAATAAATTGGGGAATTTTACTTTAAAAGCTTCTCTAAATCTTCCTTGAAAAACTGAAACAAAATGGTTGTAAAAGCTTTTAAATGAACATTGACAAGCAACTTCTTTAAATACCTACACATTCTCAGACTTAGTTTCTTGCACCACTCTTTTATCTTGTATAAAACTTAATGGATGACATATTTCATTCCACAAGTTGACAATGTTAAAAATGTGCTATTCCTTTTAGTTTTAGTATACTGCAAAGCCAGTGATAGCTACAGGCGCTATGAGCGATATACGACTGAAGAAAAATGAGATTACTGCTGATAAAGAGCAAGTGACTTTCATATCTTAAAAGAGTCTGAAATCCAGCAAATATGATCCCCAGCAGCAGATGCCCCACAGACAGACAATGAAAGAAAAATGGTGGAAAAGTACTCAATGTGGCTTGTTGTTTCCTGCAGCTGGAATGGCAGCAAAATGAAATAGCATGCTGCCTGCATGAAGAAATCCTACCTCTCTGGGAAAAACATAACCCAAAAATTACTAACAGTCTAACAAAATGAGCAGTAATTTTCTACTGTGGGAAAAGTGATGTTACTCTGACTCACCTTCTTTGGTAAAAGATACCTTTACTTTGGAAATGTTGCTCTTTTGAAGGCTATCGTGCTGTTATCATCAACATTTATCATAATAATGATCAATTTAATGGAAGTGCAGTACAAAAGCCCAACCTCAGGCTGGAAATATGTATTAATGATTCTTTTACAAAAGGAATGAGACATATGCAAATGTGAAATAGCTCCTCTCTCTGTCTATTAAGGTGTTCCTGGAACATGAATGAACATAATTTCAAGATGTCAATATTTCATGTTACAGTGCAACCCTTACCTTGTATCCTGATGATTTGATATGCACTCCTCGCTTGGTCAGTGTAGATTTCATTCGGATGAAAAAAGAGCGCTCTAGAGTGTTGTCAGTGGTTAGCAAACTGGGGTTTGTAGATTCCACTAGGGAGTAGAAAAAATACATATACAGATAATTTAGATTTTATACATCTCCTCTAAGCTATTTTTCAGGTGCAATCCTTGAACTCACTAAAAATAAATGACTGATGGATGCTAAGAGTGTTGTAATCAATTTACCTCATTTAGAAAATGTTTATTTAGCAAAAAAGAAATTACAAAAATATACATATACTCAGTATGTCTCATTTTCAAGTTATTTTTCTCATAGAAATTTAAAAGAGATTTGTGGCATTAACTCTTTCTTGCACAATTTAGCTACAACTGGAGTTGGAGGGTATGTCACTAGAGTGGATGACATCGTTTTAAAAACTATTTGTCAGTACTTTGTAAAAGGCAAAGTCTTACTTAGGTAGCAATTCTTCCCTGAAAGAGGCTGCAAATTCTGCAGATTTTTATTCCCTAGTCTCTCCTCAACTGCAGGAATACCTGAGTCAGTGCTGGATTTGTGTGCCTTGATTTCCATATTACTGAGGCTAAATTAGAGCCTTTATTATCAATAAAACATGAAACAACCTGAAGGCAAGAATTCTCAAGCAAATGACACATATTATTATTATTGCCATCATATTATGTATTATTGGCGATTAATTAGTCAATAATGAAATATCTTTTTAGTCCAGCTGAAGGGATATTACTTGCTCACAACTAAATATAGCTCTCACCTGCACTTCTCCCTCCTTAACTACAACCACTTAAAATACTTAAAAACTCTCAGTATAAGCCATGGTAGAATAGCGTCAGCACCAAATTATTCTTTATACAATCTTTATGATTCCTATTTTTTAGCCCTGATAATCAACTTATCCCCAAAATACTGTTAATGGGAAAATTCTGGAGCAGCTTACAACAAACAGGCATTATTGGAGACAAAAGAAATTTCAATTTCAGTGAGGAATTAACAAGGAACAAAAGAAGTATTTTGAAATTGTACTTCAATTGTTTAGGAGAACCATACAAACTACTAGTAGAAAGTGTTTAAGTATTTAAAATGCATTTGTTATGCAGTCAACAGAAATGCAAAAGTTGTTTGTGAGCTAAGGATTATATTGAATTGTCCTTGATTTAATATGGTCAACTTGTCTTGTGTTTGTGACATTTCAGCTCTGTTGTGATAACTGACAAGAGTGTCCCTTTCTTTAGTGTGTTTCTTAAGATTTTTTTGTTTTAGAGAGCATGAATTTGATGTCATTTTAAATGTACAGCTCTTTATCACTCGAGGGAAAAGCAGAGCCATGTTATATTTAGTACTTTCATTTCTTCTGATTAAATATGAATTACTATGAAATTTTTCTCATCATCTAACACACCATAATACGCCAACAGCTTTTTAATACACTGTATAAGCACAAACTTCTGCTCTAAGAGTTTAATTTGCCCCTCTAATCCAATCACATCAACCTTATTTCTCTTATCAGAGATTCCCATTTTGAATTAAATGAGCTCATTAGTTTTAATCAAAAGCAGAGAGATCAAAACTTAAACGTAAATGCTTTAGATCAGAACTGTCAGTCAGCCGTGCAGTTCTATTTTACTAAAACACAAGATCAGAGACCCTTAGAACCAATTTTTTCTCGTAAGGGATGCCAAGAGCTTGAAGATGCTATATCCTTTTTTTTTTTCCTCCCAAGGACAGATTATACATTTAAGGTTAGACTTAATTTAGAGTATTTTTTTTCATCCTGGTGGAAATGGGAAAGTATGCCATTCTGCTGTTGTCTCTTTCACAGTTATTGGTGTGGGTCCTTGGAGACCTGAACAAATGTAAAGCCATCACAATCCATGCAACAAACCTGTCCTCAAAAAATTCAGCTCTGTTCAGCAGTATCACATAAGAAATAAAAGTCTGAAGGGAAAGGTATTTTTCAGGGTGTGGGACAGTGAAACCCTGAAACAGCAGCCAAAGTAACCCAGATAGCAGCAGTACTGGTAAGATGAGGAGCATAATTAATTATTATTTTTATTGTACAGTACAGTGCAGTAGTTAAAGAGTACATTAGGAAACCACAGCATGGGTGCTTCCTGCTGTGTGAAGAAATGCTAAAATCAGCTTAACAAGTGTAGTTGTTGCAGTCCAGCACGTTATACTCTGGTACAGGCAGTAAGTATAATATGCCCTCCTGTGTTCTAATGGTAATTACCTAAACATACAGTATTAAACACACAATATCTTATGCTCAAAGAAAGATCAGGCTGTAATACATATGCACCATTCCCAAAAAATGGAAATTAAAATTTCTCTTTCATGCATAGTTAAATGAAAGAAAGGATAACAACTGACATATCGTAAAGTGTACTTGGCATTGACATTTTTTAGGCTAATTTAATCACATATCATAAGATAAATATAATTTTGCTGTTATTATACTATGTACAAACCTGTTCATCTCTAAATGAATATTATAAAGTGTACATATTTTATCCAACAGACTGGAACAGTGTCATACAAATATGTATTCTGAAGTGTTTGATTTTCTTTAACAAAAGGTATCTGAGAGTGTATGTGAGATGGGATTGGTTACCTAAATGTCCAGAACGGCTTATGAACAGCATTTTGAATTTCTCTCAAAAGAGAACCATTAGGGCTGATAGTGCAAATCTGCATTCAGAGTTGCACCCACCCACAGTAGGTACTATAACAATGCTGATGGTGATTATGCATGCAGAATTTTAAAAATAGGATATGCATTGAACAGATCCATCGATGTCAGTGAGATTTGTACAGGAATATAAGGAATATGGTCCATTATGAGTTCTCAGGAGTTGATTTTAAATGTCTATCACTGAACCATTTCAATTTTTTTTTCAATTATGTCAAATTAGACTTGCAATCTGAGGAATATCAGAATGAAACTTTGGCAATTAATTTTTGATTTTTTTAAAAAATTATAATCTAAAACCTTTAAAAAGCCTGAAATAAACAAGGTACACTTGGCTTGATACTGTAGAAACAAAAGGTGTCTTTTTACACTGAAAAATAAGGCTTCTGGCTTGAATTACTGAGTTTAAACCTACTGTTGAGTTATAAACTTCTGAAACTGTGAGTTTAGAATGCTAATTATATGATAAAAGTCAATGCTTACTGCATGCGAATTAAAGTATTTTACACTGTCAGACTTAGAAGTATAAAAAATAAGTCTGGGTTGTCTTTGCAAAGCAGGTAATTGTGTACTCTGTTGGGAAAGCACTTGCCTTTGTGTGCCCTTAAACATCTTCAGCAGATACTACTAAAGGAATAAACGTCTTCTCTTTCCACTCCCAAAGCTGATAATGCAGGATGAGATTTCTAGACACAAGGAATGCATTTTCCATTTCAAAGGGAACAAAGCTACAATCTATTGTACCCATAAGGAAGTGTCACAAATGTTAAAAAGCTTAAGTAAGAGCCACAGAGGTAAATGGGAAGATAGTATGAAATAGCAGCCAATTCACAAAACTGTTTTATTATCTTCTTAACTTACTGAGATTAGCTCTGTTGGCCAGAGCATGGTGCTAGTAATGCCAAGGTTGTGGTTTTGATCCCTGTATGGGCCATTCACTAAGGAGTTGGATTTGATGATCCTTGTGGGTCCCTTGCAATTCATAATATTCTGTAATTCTGTGAACTTCTGTGATTCCAAGCATTTCTTTGTGAACAAACCCTGTATTTCTGATCCTCCAATGGGCATTGCTTTGGGAATAATCTTGGCCCCAGACCCCACAAACCAGTCATGCATTGTTTAATTTCACATGCAGGAAGAGTTCTGATTGCACATAAACGTGTCCATAGCTGTCTGGAGGACTGAGGTCCATGGCTGTAATCCTGCAGGGATCTGCAGAGGTACTGTACACCTGCATACAGTCTGACTACTTTACTGCTATAGAGCAAAACAATGTAAACCAATGCAAATAATTGCTCTTACACAGCAATAGCACAAGTACTGTCCCTGTGAGTGATTCACAAGCACATTCAAATTTAGATAAACAATATGTCCCCCAGGAAAAAAATAAGTTCCACATTTGATTTATGTCTTAAATAACAAAAAGCTGCTACACTAGGCTGAATAATGTTCACCAACTTCTGGGCTTTTTTTCTTGACAAGCACTAAAAATTGAGAGGAGAAAAATGCAATTTTGCACACCAAACAGAGAAAAGACAGGCTTCTAATTCATAGGAAGAAAGAAAGGTATAGAGGAAAAACCAAAAACCAACAAGGAATTTGAGAGTGGTGGAAAAAAAATACCTTATCGTTTAACATAAAGGATTTTCTGGATTTTGTAGCATTTTAGGAAGGTTTCACCTGGCTTTCATTTCACTTGAAAACATATGTCCATACATTTTTAAAAAGACATTCTCAAACACCAACTATACAGCCAGCTCTTAAAAGAGAAACAAATGAACAAAAACCCGAACATACAAAACAGTAAGAAAAAGGGAGCTCTTTTCCTGTTATCTTCTGCACTTGCAAACATCTTCTCACATTTTCTTAAAGTATTATGAACCTTTGCATAGGGAACTGAGACTCATTATGTTCAGGTGAATATACAGGTAATATAAATCTACCATTTTCAGTTGAACTAGTTGCAGCTTTTTAATGTTTCTATTTCTTCTGTGCAGTTTATTGTCTGTAACCAGGCATTAAAAGACTAAGACAATTTTGCCTTGAGTACTTAACTGCCTTTAATCAGAAAAGTGACTCTCAAAAAATCATTATTTGCCAAGATCATTCTCTCTCGGTATCTTACAGATCAAATTTGATCATTTTATAAACTAAAAGATAGATTTTTCACAACTACTAACCCAACAAATAGGGCAAAAGGCAAAAGCTACAAGTTAAGACAATTTATTTCCAATAAGTGCAAGTTACTACATTTAGCAATTGTGCAAATGAATGGTTTTAAGTGAAGCTGGTTCAGGCTGATCACAGGCTGAACATGGCAAGTAGTGGAAACTAAAATTTGTTCTAGGAAACAGTAGAAGATTCCTGGACTAGGATGAACCATTT